CTTTGAAAGATAATAATCTCCAGCCAAGGTTGATATATCCTGCACAACTGTCCCTAGAAATTGATGGAAAAACAAGGTGCTTCCAGGATAAAGAGGAACTAGGGGAATTTGCAACCACTAATTCAACTCTACAGAGAATACTGCAGGATAGTCTAAAAAAGGAAAATACCAAGATGCCAGAAATAGTGGCAGAGAGGCCACAATGAATGGAGCAGAAAATGAAATGGAGAAGACAAACTGACAACAAACGACAGAAAAAGAGCTCAACAGAAATGAGGCAGAGAAGATTGGAAGGTGGGAACAGCAATTTTGGAGAGAACAAGACATCATAATAGCTAGTGCTGATTTAGTATCATCTTGTTTAGAAGTCCCATCAAACATGTATTTTTCTGTCTCCATTGGTCTTAAAAGGTTGTATCTTATTGGATTTTATTATATATGATAATATAAGCAAAAACTTTTATAGACAAGGAATTCATATAGAAACCATTGTTCATTTTCTGTCAATTAGTTCTAAATACCCTGTAATAATGTCATCCTCTTGAATGGTTTTATAGTGTCTTGATATGTTTGGTGCTACAGTATAAGTTATACTCAAAGATTTCAAGGAAAGAGACACTATCGTAACTACTGTTATGTTGTGATATCTTGTGAAACACTATTTTGCTTAAGTGGTTGTGATTTGACCTGTGCTGTTCTGTTGTTACGCCCTCTTTCATCTCAATCCCCCCCTTTTTAAAATTATTTACTTTTTTCTTTTTATTTTTTAATTAAGGTAGAAATAAATAAAAAATAGCAGGATACATTATAGTAACCTACTTTGATTTCCTACTAAGATTTATTTTAGATCCAGCAGTAAGATAGCTGAGTCAAATGGAATCTCTGATCCTAGCTTTCTAAAGAATCTCCACACTGATTTCCATAGTGGTTGCACCAGGCTACACTCCCACAAACAGTGGGTAACAGTTCCTTTTCCTCCACAACCCTTACACCCTTAATCACCTCTTCGTGATTTGATGGTTTGTGCCAAGAAGTCTGCTGTAATTTTGATGGGTATTCCCTTGTAAGTGTCTGTTTCTTGTCTCTGATGGTTTTCAATATTCTGTTTTTATGTTGGATTTCTGGAATTTTGATTATTATATGCCTGGGTGTAGGTCTGTTTGGGTTGTAGGTAGCTGGAGTACTAGGAAATTTTGAAATCCTGTATTGCCCTCACCGTCTTGTTTTGACTGTTTTTCCTCTATTCTGCTTTGCTTGATAGTACTAAGTTCGAAAGTATAGGCATAACTATGAAGACAATAAGAATCATTATGACACCCATTCCGGTTGACTATTAGTTTCTTTTAAAATCCTGTAATGTCTCCAATGCTTTGGTTTTATTCTTTACTGTTTAGTTCAATTTTATTATAACTGCCAATTCTTCTTAAAATAGCAAGAGGCAGTGTGGTAACCATTGTTGATCACCTTATATTTTGTTTTTACATTATCTATTATGTCCATCCTTTTGATTTGACTGACTCTGTTCTGATATGTTGCATTTGGTTTTACTCTCTTCAAAAAAAGTAATAAGGACTGTGGGAGTAATAAAACCCAAAATGTGTAATTGTCATTGTACAAAAGAAAAGAAAAGAAAGTGCTCTAAAGGTTATAACAGCATATATGTTTAAGTGTGTAAGATAGATAACCATATTACTGAATGTTTTTTGGATCATTGAACAAAACTGTTTGCACTCTCACTGTTTGAAAGTCCACTTTATATGCTTCAAATTTGTAATGTGAACAACTATTTTTAAGATGAGAATATGTAATCTATTAACTAGAGATTTCTTACTGTTTATTTTTTAAATTTTGTATTACTTGTACCCTTTTTCTGTTTTTTTCCTTATTCTCCTTAACTAAAAAAAAGTAACTTTGTAAATTCTATTTAAACTTATAAAGAATTTTTTAAAAATCAGGCCCTCAAAATTCAAGCATACAATCTAAAAATGGGCATCTGAGATGAATACATACTTCTCAGATGAAGAGATATAAATATATGAAAAAATGTTCAACATCAATGGTCATTCAGGAAATGCAAATTAAAACAACACTGAGATCGCATCTCACCCCAGAAAGAATGGCCAAGATTAAAAAATCAACCAATAGCAAATGCTGGATGGGTTGTGGAGGAAAAGGAACTGTTACCCACTGTTTGTGGGAGTGTAGCCTGGTGCAACCACTATGGAAATCAGTGTGGAGATTCTTTAGAAAGCTAGGATCAGAGATTCCATTTGACTCAGCTATCTTACTGCTGGACATTTTCCCAGAAGAATTAAAAACATCATACCACAATGATATATGGGCACCCATATTTATAGCAACACAATTTGTAATAGTCAAATTGTGGAAACAACCCAAGTGTCCAACAAACAAGGAATGGATAAAAAGATGTGATATTTTTATATAATAGAGTACTACTCAACTGTAAAGAAAGATTGCATTGAGACTTTTATAAGTAAATGGACATGGCTTGAAACCATACTCATAAGTGAAATAAATCAAACTCATGTGTTTAAATACTATATTGTCTCCCTAGTGCAAGAAACTGAAAAAGTACATATGATACAAAATCTATTATAAATACTGTGTAAGTGTAAGAAACTGCTCAAAAAGGAAAAGTAATTGGGATAGGGGAAAGGAGGAAAGAAGGAAGGGAAAAGGAAAAGACATAAATTTGTGTGTATATATACTTACATATGAGGCTAAAATGACTATACTATTAGCTACTGAAAAAGAAAAGTTAATACATGATTAGATCAATTTTACATGTTTATATCTGTTATTTTAAGCAACACTTTTGAAAGTAACAATGTGCAGTATTACAACCATTGTCAAATTCCTGTCATCTTGTTTTGTAAGTGTATACTGTTATTGTATTGGGTTTGCTGTTGTTGTTTATCTCTTTTCACTTTTCTATATCTTTTTTCTCTTAAATAGATAAAAAATTAATGGAAAAAAGGTATTGATCAAAATCCCACTGAGAATGAATAAATACAGTATGTGATAATGAATTTTTCAGTAATGAAAATGAATAAATCACAACTGCATGACATAAAATAAATAAATCTTAGAAACAATGCAGAGTGAAACAAATCAAGTGCTAAAATCTATCTAATAATTTTATAAAAAATAAGATGTAGTTAATGAACTAGATACGTAGATAGGTTAGTAACATTTGTGAACATGGAACGCTAATATGTATGTTAGTTTCTTGTGACTGCTGTACCAGATGACCACAGCCTTGGTGGCCTGAAACAAAAGATTAGCCAGGTGTGATGGCTCACACTTGTAAGCCCAGCGCTCAGAAGTTTGCAAGTTTAAGACCAGCTTGAAGCCAACTTGGGCTACACAGTGAGTTCAAGTCCAGTCTGGACTGCCTAGCGAGACCTTGTCCTAAAAAACCAAACCAAAAAACAAAAGAGTTATTATTTTCTCATAGTTCTGGAGGCCAGATATTTGAAACTGTTCCACTGTGTTAAAAATCGAAGTGTTGGCAGGGCTGTGGTTGCTCCCAAAGTCCTAGGAAAGAATGTGCTTCTTATTTCCTCCAGCTTCTTGTGGCCACCAGACCTTGGTCACTTCACTCTAACATCTGCCTCCACAGTCATGCTGCATTTTCTTCTGCAGTCAAATCTTCCCTGTCCCTTTTCATTGAGACACTGTCGAGTTTTGGATCCAGCTGGATAGCTCAGTAATTTCACTTACTTTACTGATGATACTGACTCGTGTGCTTTTGTTTTGGTAGATTCACACAGGTACATAGCTTATTTTGATAATTTTTACTGCCATTACCCTGCCTCTTCCCCTGGTTTCATATAGAAGTCAATTCGTATATTTTGTTCATATCCATTCTCTTGTTACTTATCCTTACTTCTTCTCTCTTTAACACCTATTCCCTTCCTCTTATCTAGTAATGGTCAAAATTTTTCATTCAGTCACATCTACAGTGTCTTCATCATGTACAGTAATATTCACAAGTCTAGGTATTAGAATGCATACATCTTGTGGGCTCATTATTTGGCCTGCTATTATGTATATAAATTGTGCACAGGCACACATGGTTTTCCTGGAATGGTAAATACTAATTTTGGGATCAGGGTGCAGGAACAGTCTTGGGCAGGTTTTCGAGAGTGATTAACATCTCTTCCTGCACCAAGCTTGGTCACTCCAAGTTGGTATCTTCAATCAGGGTGTATTTATACAATGCAAATGGACACGCACTGAAAAGCAGAGCTCTCCCCCGGAGAACTGGAATGTACTGTCAGAAGTGTGGCTGCTATGTTGGTAGGGAAGGCAGAGGGGGAATCACACTTTGTAATGCTCTAGTGTTAAAATTAGGTAGTATGTTAACAGTGTTTGTTTTAGTGTGCTTTGAATTTACATAGATTTTGTATACCCACATAATATTGATTTTTTTATTTAAAAGGGAAGTAAATTAGGCATGGTGGCATATACCTAATGTCCCACTACTCTGAGAGGCTAAGACAGAAGGCAGAATCACAAATTTGAGCATAGCTTGGGCAAGATCCTGGAAAAAAGAAAAAAAAAAATGAAAGGTTGTGGGGAGGAGGTGGTGCTGGGCCTATATTTAATCCCAGGAAGAAAAGAAAGAAAGAAAAAAAGATTACCAAGTGCAGTTGCTGGTGGAAAGTAGGATGATACTCTGGAAAGTAATATAGCAGTTTCTCAACTAAACACACTCTTGTTTTGTGATGTGTGATCACACTACATGATGAATATTTAAATTTTAAAAATTGATCACAATAAAGACACACTGCCATTCATGCCTTTCAACAAACTTTCTCCCTCTTTTGACACACTCATCCCATCGTTCTTGCCTCTTTCTGAAGCAGTTCTAAGAGTCCTCCTTTGTGTCTTCATGAGATCTGAACAAACATACACACAGAAAATACTGCTGCTGAATGTCATCCAATAGAAAGGGAGGTTTGTAGAAAGCTTACCTTGAGTTTTCATTCACCTTACCAGGCCTGGTAAAATGGAACTTCTGGCTCTTCTTCAAAGTCAAAATCACTACAAAAGGTAAATATTTTGAATTCATTGAGCACAAAGAGGCAGTATGACAGCACAACTAAAGACACTGTAGAGAGAGGATTTCTAGAGCCGCTTCAGAAATGGCAAGAATATGGGTAAGTGTGCTCAAAGAATGGGAGATTAATGTTGTGTCTTTTACTGTAATAAATCTTTTACAAATTTCAACTATCACCATGTTTTCCAATCACATTTCATATAAGCCAATACTTACATTATTGAAAATTTATCCTGAGTAAGTGAAAACTTGTATTTTCGTATAAAACCTGGACACAAAGCACACTACAGCTTTACTTAACAATAGCCCTAAAGTGAAAATAACCAAAATGGCCTTCCATGAGTGACTAATTAAAATGCTATTGTGCTTAGTTATTGATACAGGCAAAACATGAATGGACCTCAAAGATAGTATGTTGAGTGACAAGAGCCAATTTAAAAGGTCACATTATATGAATCTATATTGCCTTCATCAAATGACAAAATTATGGGGTGGGAGAGCAAATTAGTGGTTGACAGAGATTAGGGATAGTTGGGGAAGAAGAGCAGTAGGTATTACATTAAAGGAGCAGCCTGAGGAAGGTCTCAGTAGTGATGATTCTACCTCTTGGTTTGGCAGTATTTCAAAAATCAGGGGCTGGGGATTTAGCTCAGCGGCATAAGCGCCAGCCTTGAAAGCAGGCAGTCGTGAGTTCAATCCCTGGTACCGAAAAAAACAAAGCCAAAAAAAAACAAAACAAAACAAAAAAAAAATCATAAATCAGTACACATGTACAGTGTGTCAGTATCATTTTCGTGATCCTGATGTTACAGTCTAGTTTATAAGATGTCACCACTGGAGAAAAAACTGGAGGAAGGTGTGGAGGGCCTGTCTGTACCCTTTCTCCAGCTTCCTGGGAACCTTGAACGAAATGCACAAAAGTAAATTAAGTTAGAAACCTTAAACTTTTGAAAGAAAAAAAAGTGAAAAGCTATGATTGCTTTTATACCTTCCTTCAAACAATCTCATGTCTATGCTAACATACCTGATTTTCTCCAAATCATCCTTCAGAATAGGCTGTGTGACCAAACAGACCCCCGGTTGTTCCGCAGCAATCCCCGCCTCCTTGCTGGTGAGGCCTTTTCTCCTGAGAGCTGCACCCATCACATGAGTCTGTCCCCATCACACTGGCTGTGGGCTGTGTTCATGTAACTTTCATCTGGCTCCTGCTCGATGCCTTATCTGGAGCAGGCAAACATTCCCTCATCTTTTTGTCTCAATCATTTCATCAGGGTGGGGAACAGGCAAAAGGTTTCTTCTGAATTGTGACCTTCTAGATGTTTCTTCTCTGTGGGCTGCTTTCCTTCTCTGTCCCATTCTGTCGGGCTGACTCTGACCACCGGGCAGTAATTAAAAAATATTTTCCCACAAAAGCAGCCCACTGAAGTTCATAGACTTCTTTTCTCTTTCTGGTTGTTGTATTTCAGCTTTCCTTAGCCAGCTGATTAATAATAACTTTTGCTTCTATTCTCTCCCATTGAGTAAATTCCAGCAACAACCTGTGACAATCTCTGAACAGGCCAGAAAATTCCAACTTTGGTGAAATAATAGATAGAGTGGATGGGCAAGGGACTTGCTGGTCAAGGAATTCAGATCCTTTATCGCGAAGAATCACAGCACCTAGGCACAATACCTTGCAGCCTGGGCACTGCTCTGGAACCATACTTGGGACAAAGTGATTTTAGACTGTGACCTCTTCTCCCACTATTCTTCCCTTCCTTAAGATTCTTACTGGGAACTATGCTTGTTGGTGAGGTTTCTATTTCCTCTCTGTGTGTTTTCTTTCTTTTGGTAAAAGTAATTTATAAAAATGTTCATCTATATGCCAAAGTTGAAAGCAAGCTGCTGTATACTTCTGAAGGAGGACTGCACTCCTCCACATTACACTTCCGTCCTGAGCCCCAGAGTCTACAACCCGGCCTGAAGTCCTTTCACCATTTCTCCAATATTTGCCATATATACTTTTACTACAGACATCTTGATTTTAGAATATAAACATTTTCAGATGAAAAATAACTAAAACTGTCATTCTTTAAACCTTACACTTGACAGTTTGTCTGAGTGTAGTCTACATGACTTTGCCATGTTTAAGTTGGCTCTGCTCTACTGTTTCGTATTTCTGATTATTGCATTTGGGCTTTCCCTAACCAGCTGGTTGATAATAACTCTTGTTTCTATTCAAATAAGTCTGATGCCATCCTATTTTCTGCTCCTTGGATAGTGCTGCTTTGCTCTTTTTTCCCTACTTTTTTCTCTTTCTGGACACCTTTACAATCTTCCCTTAATTCACAGTGTAATCATAATATAAAGTGATGTGAATTGCTAAATCTTTTATATTTATTATTTGAGCACACAATGAGCATATTCAATCTGATAAATAATGTCATTATATGTTTTAAATTATTTTCTTTATTTAATAATTTCCTTCACTTAGGCTTTCCTTCACTTAGAGGCTGTTTTTCCCAGCCTCTCTTCCTTGAGCCACAGTACTCACCCACTTTTTTTTGGTAGTGCTTGGGGATCAAACCCAGGATCCCATACAGGATCCCAGTGCTCTACCACTGAATTATATTCCCTAGTTTGAATCAATATTATTCAGAGGTAGAACTTTCTGAACTGACCTCACTTTTTTTTATCTTTTGTATTCCTATTTTGTCTTTTTCATCAACTCTTTGAGATTTTTGTCTTCCAGTTTTCTATTGAATGTGTAATTTTGACTGTGATGGCTCAAATTTTCAAGGGTATTTTTGTGTCCTCTGATTATTCCTTCATAATATCTTATTCTTGTCTAATAGACACAGTATCTCTTTCCATTTCTTTAAGTATACTAGAGTTTAGTTTTTAATTTTACTCTACTACCTCTATTTCCTCTAAGTTCTTTTAAAATTTTTTCTTGTCTGCTTTGTTCAGTGTCTTATACATTGGCAAATTCCCTCAAATATCCTACTGATTTTCAGTTGACCATATTTAAGAGTGAGATATTAAACCATTCAATGAACAATATTCTTACAGGGCTTGTTAAGTAGTAGGGTCTGCTCTAGGTATGTTGCTTGCCATAATTTGTTTTATGTTGCTGTAAGAAAACACTTGAGATTGGAAACTTTACAAAGAAATACTTTCGGGACTTCCAGGAGAACATGGCGGACAGATAGCAGCAGCTACGGAGGCTCTCTGAAAGACCCAGCTTAGAATTCAGGAATGGTGCGGAGTAAGGAATCATAAGCAAGTGGAGATATGCCCTGCTGACCCAAGAACGAACTGGGCTGAGAGAAACCAACTGGGAATGCAATCCTGGTGCTATCACAGGAACAGAAAAGCCTCAGTGTGGAAGCTGAAGCCCACGCCATTGGAAGCTGCGATTTGGGTTTCCCGCCACCGCTGCTGCATCTATATCGGCTCAGCAGGGAGAGAGACACACAGAAGCTCTGAGAACGGGAATCGGTGAACGGAGTTGAAAGCAGGACGGGCGGGGAGCTGTGCATTGACTTGCGGTGAGTGAGAGAAACTGGGTCTCTTCGACGGTTTAGGAGACTCCAACAGAGGACATTCTGGGAATGGGCAGACTTGCGGGAACAGGGCGCTGCAGTGACTTCAGCCACATATCTCCCTCTCAAGCGGGATTGGTGAGAAGTGCCTAGCCTATGTGACACTGCTGGCTGAGACCCAGTAGGCTAGCACAACCCAGATCCCAGCGCCTGAAGGTGACCTGAGGGGTGGGCCCCACATAGGCTGCCTGGTCTGCAACTTCGTGGTGTGCTGCGGTGGGTGGGAACACCTAGCAGGCGCAATTCAATCAGACTGTGGCTGACAGGGAAGGAAGCTGGGCCTCCTATATACACTTGCATATATAAGGAACAAAGAATATGGGAAGAGGCAACAAGAAAGGGTCCTCGGCCCCCAATCCTGAGAAAGAGGCAATAGCAGACACAGCACCAATAGATATAAAGTGCTATCTCCAGAGCCTCATAGACAAGTTCAGGAATGAAGTTATTAATGACCTGAAGCTAGACATAAGCAGAATAGTTAGAGAAATGCTAAGCACCACCCAAGAAAAAACAGATGGTGGAATGGAAGAACAGAAAAAGAGGGGAGAATTGTTTGATGGAGAAAATAGAGAAAGGATAGAATATGTGAAGCAGGTTCAAAGAGATTACCAGGAAACTAAAAACTCTTTCGAAAACTGGCATAACAGCTTGAAAGAAACTAAGGACAGATTATATGAACTGGAGGGCAGATTTGTAATATGGGAGAATGAAATTAAAAATTTCTTTAAAATAACAAAGAAACAAACAGCAATAATACAAAGACTAGAAGATGATAAGAGGATCCATAACTTAAGAATTAAGAACATAAAAGAAGAAGTAGGGACACAAACAAATGAACTACAAAAGCTACTCACAGAAATAATCCAGGAGAATTTTCCTAATTTAGCAAAAGGTAAAGATACTCAGTTGTATGAAGCATACAGGACCCCAGCCACCTACAACCCAAACAGAGCAACACCCAGGCATATAATAATTAAAATTCCAGAAACCCAATATAAGAACAGAATATTAAAAGCCATCAGAGACAAGAAACAGATCACTTACAAGGGAACACCCATCAGAATTACAGCAGATTTCTCAGCACAAACCATCAAATCATGAAGAGCATGGGGGGAAATAATTCAAGCTTTGAAAGATAATAATCTCCAGCCAAGATTGATATATCCTGCACAACTATCCCTGGAAATTGATGGAAAAACAAGGTGCTTCCAGGATAAAGAGGAACTAGGGGAATATGCAACCACCAATTCAACTCTACAGAGAATACTGCAGGATATTCTAAAAAAGAAAAATACGAAGAATCCAGAAATAGTGGCAGAGAGGCCACAATGAATGGAGCAGAATACAAAATGAAGAAGACAAACTGACAACAAACAACAGAAAAAGAGATCAACAGAAAT